ACTGAGCCACCCAGGCGCCCTGCTTTTCATTCTTATTCATTCAGAGTGTAAGGTACTATGTTTTACTTTTTGAATGAATGAGGCTAGGCTTCAGGGTCCTCATCTTAATGCAGGAAGTTGAACTCTAGAATATTGCTGAAGAAGGATAGTGGGAGAGTGAGGATCATTTTTTTCTCTCATATCTCTAGCCTGAATCTTACAACGAAAGCAGCCGGCTATACGAAGAAATAGTACTGAACGGTTCTCACTGGTACAGGGGCCAGACACCCCCCCCCCCACCGCCATAGCACCTGCCATGAGAAATGTACCGCCTCAGGCAATGAGCGGTGGTTTTACTGCCTGACCCTCCACTCACCGCGTGGCTAATGATAGACTTCTGCTGCTTCCCTGTTGGCCACTCCTCTCAGACTGTGCTGGGACATTGATAGAGGCATCTGGGGGTGTGGTGAGGTAAAGACACCCCTGTTTTCCCAGCAGGCAGCTAAGCAATCCCACACATCAGGAGTACTTCCTTCAGGGATCTCAGGCTGGAGTCGCTTATTACTGGGAACAGGAATGTTTTAGATACTGTCAAACTGAATCAAATAGAATTGGCCCAGCTGCCCCGCACGGTTGCGGATTACGCTAGGGATTGCTCATTTGTGGTCCGTGCCCTTGGTTTTTCCCTCCTGCCCCATGATTCTTGGAGAAAGAAGGTCATTTTATGGTTCCTTATTCAGGACAAGCACAAAGGATCCCCCACCACAAATCCGGTGACTATTTGTATTCAGGCTCATGGCGAATTTTCCCAACCGTCCTAATCCTATAAAAAGCTCCTTGAAAGAATAACACATATCAGTTGAGTTGGCATAGAAACATGGAATGGTTTCAAGTGAAGTGCTGTTAAATGCCACGATGTGTTACTGAATAGTCACTGGGACAGTTGTGCATGGATATCTGGATTCTTTCCCAAAGATTGTGTGATCACGCAGATATAATCGCCACAGTGCAAGCCTGATCCCGTGAGTTCCCTAAAAAATGCTCCAAACACCATTCTCATTGTCTCCATTCTACAGGTTCTGTCAGCTTCCCCCTTTCTGGAGTGTCTCACACCCCCCTGCACTACTTATATATATCTACCATTTCTCCTCTTCAAGGCCAACCTTAATTTTTGATTTCTTTTTTTCTCAGAGCCTTCCTGTAGCATCCCCAATCTGGGTGAGCTCGACTTTGTGTAACAAGTTTGTTTGTACTGAGTCATGGCATTTTCCCATCTATTTACCTCCCATTGCTAGTTTTTATTCACGCCCCTCCTCTCCCCTCTTTCAACCACATGTCCTTTCTACCTTGGTAGATTGTCAACTGCTTCGGGGAGGAAAAAAAAGCCATGCCCTGTACAATTCTGTGTCCCTAGCCCCTAGTGTAGAACCATAATACATCTGTCTCTAACACTGATCAAGTGTATTCATTATCCCCACTATATAGATAGGAACCAGGGTTCGGTTTGGTAGGAAATTTGAATGAGCTCATATAACTGCTGAGCTTCAGTAGGATTTGAACTGGGCTTTTTACTTTAATATTCTTTATCTTTTTTGTTTTAATTGTTTTAGCTGTTAAATTGTATTTTTCAGTTTGAGTTGGTGTTATATGCATGTGGTAAAAAAAAAAAAAAAGTCCAAAGGTTCAGGGTCTCTTTCTGTTCTATTGCACTGGGTGAGTAACTTAATACATGCTTGTTCTCAGAATGTCCTGCTATTTTCCTTTAAGAAGCCACCTTGCTGTTCTGACTTCGGACTTCTGCTGTTCTGTTAGTGGCTCCATCACAAAATCTTGGGATGGCTTTTTACCTTCCTCTTGCTCGCCCCAGCTAATTGGTGGCTCAAGACCAGCTGCTACTTCAAAGGGCCTTCAAATCTATGCCTGCCTTCTCCCTTGTCACTGCTCCCCCAGATCCGGCCCTCACTCCCCTACCCAGAGGCCTGCAGTCTGGCTGCCCTCCCTACCTCCCTTCACCCTGTTGCACTCCATTTCAGGGTACTCTAGAACCCTTCAGAAACCTGCAGGGAGTCCTTCTACCTTCCGATTGAGTTCTTAGCTCAGGGCTTCTTAACTGTTTTTGTTCAGCCGTCTAGTTAGTTTGGGTAATCTGGGGAAGCCACTGTCCCTTGCTAAATAATGGTTTTAAATGCTTAAAATGAAACGTAAGTTTACAAAGGGAACCGTTGAAATAGCTATCAAGCTATTTTAAAAGCAAATTTTGATATGAAAGTCTGTGTAATTTCTTATTATAATTAATAAATAATTCTGTAGTGAATACACTAGATAACAAGGTCCCCAGCAGGTGTGGTAACTACCACCACTTCATAGTAGTCATGGGTGCAAGCGATATCTTGAGATACCCACAGCTTCTGTGCTGTGATAGGAAAATGTCCATGATTTGTTTGGGGACGAGTCACGGGTCCTTCTACGATTACTGTCTTACCTACATTTTGTGACCAAAGGAAATGCCAAATTTCAGTCCGAGGTTAGTGAAAATAAATTGTTAATCCCTTTCCACTTGTGTTTTTGGCCCCCAGGTTCAGCCCCCCCTTCCTGAGTCTGAATCTCAAGACTCTGTGAGGTCTGCGATCTCATTCCCTGTTAACTTGTAAGCTTTCCCTGTTAACTCCTTCCGCTCTCCCTGTGTGGGCTCTGCATTGTGCACCATACAGATGGGAGAGAAAACTGGGAGCCACATTGTCTAACCTGAGCCCTGCATCTCTGTTCTTCTGTTTGCATCTGTGCAGGTAGAAGAAGGATGGTGGGAAGGCGTTCTCAATGGGAAGACCGGAATGTTTCCTTCCAACTTCATCAAGGAGCTGTCAGGGGAGTCGGATGACCTGGGCATCTCTCAGGATGAGCAGCTCTCCAAGTCAAGTAAGGAAGTCCCCCATGTGGGGGGCAGGGTGGGGGCACCGGCGGGTGCTGCTCCAGCCTCCCCACTTTTCTGTAGCCTGTGCCGAGGGACAGTGACGGAAGCTCACGAGTACGCTTCTGCTTGTGCTGCCTTCACCCCTGCGGTGTAGTAGGTTATCCTCGTAAAGGTGTGGACTGCACACCTTGATGTGTGCGCAGGCGCACGCTGTCCATCTCTGGATAGGTGACCGTCAGCCTTCGTGCCATTTTCATGTTCTCCTATGGCTCATATTACTGTGCTTCCATACACTTCTCTCACTGCAAGTTGGTAATTATTTTTTAAATGAACCAAATGGGACTGTATTTCTCAGCATCCTTTGAGGAACTTGGAGAAAATTGGCACACGCACACACACAAAAACCGTTGGTGGTGAGAAGGGCTGTGTTCGGGAAGACTGCATGCCAGTTTCCTTACCAGTATGACAAGACAGCCCAGAGGCCAGCCCCACCTTGGGTGAGCATGCATGTCTTTCTGCGATGGTGAGAACGGACTCCAGGTCTTTCTTTCTCCAGGGCCTGAAGCTCTCCTCCCTCCAGCTTCTCTGCTGCCCTTTCCAGCTCACGGAGCAAAAGGTCAGGACCGGGAAGCTTTGTTCTCCCAGTCGCCAACCCAACCTCCCACATGGGCGTCTGTGTATCTCTTGTACCCCGTCTTGAGCCAAGCTCATGGCGTGAATGTCGCAAGACGCTCGACTGTCATGGTGGTGTGGCACTACGTGGGGTTGCAGACCTCCCTTTCTAAACTCCGTCCTGTCAAAATAATACTGAAACATCTTTCTTTTCCATTGGGAAAAATCTGATTTTAGCAGTGTTCTCAAGTTAGTCGTGTCTCTTTTATTTAACCAGTAATCGGATGGACAGACTCCCAGTTTGGAGGTAACGCCACTTCTGGAAAAGTGCTCAGGCAACCTTCTTCACTTGGTCTCTCAGCAGCTCGGGCTCACTACAGCCTCGCATACATAGAAACAGCAGCTCTGGTCGGTTGGCTCATAGACTTCAGCTATCCCCTTTCCCTCTACTGCAATGCCAGGGACCCCACCCCACCCCTGAACTCCATTCCATCCTAGGGTCTATGGTAGGAAACACGGGGGGTGATTTTGGAGCAAGCGAAGCATCTTGGAGCTCCTGTTGCCTTCGCTGGCTTGGGGTGAAGCAAGTCTCTGCTAACGTGGCCCAGCTAGTGAGTAAAACTGGGAGGGCAGTGAATGTCCTTGACCCCATGATAGTGGGAATTGCTATAGGTCCTGAACTGCACATCAGTTCTAACCTCCCTGGGGTCTCCTTTTATATATGGGAATAGTGTTGTACCTGGTAATTGGGTCCTATGATCACAATACTGTACCTCAGGGATGTTGTGGATTAAATGGGCTTTCTTGGAGGGAGGACCAAATCGGGTCATCATGCCATTATTTCTGTGGGGAAGTGTATTATGAGTTCTAATAGCAATAATGTATATAAATCACCTCAGCCATATAAGGCTGTCCATAAACGGCCACTTTCATTGTTAATCATGATAAACTCTTGGCATATAACCAGTTTGTATGTTGAGGCTGATGCACACGTACCATGCTCACTGAAGCATTTTGTGTCTGCATGTGGAAATTACTTTGGGATTCCTTTACTGATGCAGAAAAGGAGATCTGGAGGGGTATTGGACAACCTCTCTGGGAGAACCTTGACTTCTTGGTATCCTGCCATGTTAGTTATGCTTTCACAGCTGGAGGGGCAGAGAAGCAATGCCTTTTGTATTTTTGGAACTATTGAAATAAACTGTCTCCTCTTCCTCTAACTTAATAATATGGACGTTTGACCCTGCCTGACCCCCTCAGCTCAAAGTGCATGGTGCTGGAATTTCTGGGGCAGGAGGTTAGGAGACTGAGTGGAATGGTCTCTCTGGGCACTTAGCCTTCCTTCACATGATCAGAAGGGGCTGTTTCTCTTGGAGAGGTTGTTCTCCCCAACACTCACTCAGTTAAAAGCTCTCCATTTCAGAACTAGGAGAGCCCCAAAGTTTCAGCAGCCATGTTTAGTTACCACAGAATCTGTCCCTTATTGAGGGGTTTTGGGGTCCCTGAAGAGGCATGGTTTCCTAACAAGGATGGATGATTCTGAAAGAACTACATGGCCTTGGCAATCTTCCTGTTTATACAGTTAAGGACAAGAGGGCCCATCTATCTATCTCCCCTCCATCTGTCCACCCATATCCATCCATCCTTCCTTTCTTCCTTCCTTCCTTCCTTCTTTTCTTCTATTCCTCATTCATTCAACCTCTGCTGAGCCCCTGTTGTTACTGAGACACTGCACAAGACACTGAAGATACACAGAGTCCCTGCCATCAGTCAGCTCACATTGCAGAAAGGGAGTACACAAGCTGGTAGTTCACGAAGGTGCCCCAGGTGCTCCATGAGTGTCTGAGGAAAAAGGTGGAAAGGCCAGTCCTATTGGGATCTGGGGACAATGGTGGTCCCAAAGGACTTTATACAAAAGCAGATGTCCCTGTGTCTTGCTGAATTGAAGTAATCCCCTGAAAGAGAAATATCATCTCTCAGCATTCTGACAGGCTTTTCGGTAGCTGTTTACGCTCTGATGATACAATGGCTATCAGATGGTAAAATGTATAAAATGTAGCCCAGATCACATACAGAAGTTAGGTATACTGGTAGGATTTGTCTAAGCGGAACCTTTGGTTTTAGAATGATTTTGCTTATTCCTGATTTGCAGAGAATGGCATCAGTAGTTTCAGTGTGCTTTACTTTAAATTTTGTTTTTATTTTAAAGGAATTATAGAGTCACAGGAAGTTGCAAAAAAAAAAACAAACAAACAACCCAGAACTGTACAGAGAGATCCCATGTACCCTTCATCCAGTTTTCCCCCGGGATAACATCTTGTAGTAGTAAATACCTTTTTACTGTTATCAAAAACTGAGAAAAACAAAGATAGTTCATGCACAAAAGACATCTAGGTTTTTACTCTGGTATGAGCTAAACAGTACTTAATCAAGGTCTTTGTTAGACCAGCCCACTTAATATTCCTAACGTTTATGCCATTTTGGTAATTTTTAGAGAGTCTTGTGGCTTCATATAAAAATCCTCTTAATTTAAATGCTACCAGACATCACGGGTGAGGTGTTTTTGTTTTTTTTTTTTTAAGAGAGATAAAATCTGTTCTGGTACATATGAAGAAAATTTTGTGTACAGTGTATCCTTGTATATCTCTTTGTTGTACACACACACACCCCTACACGTGCACATAATTATTTGGTATTTGTCCTCTTCACATTTCTATTTCCAGAAAGTATTTGAGCGTAGTTATTAAGGTGAGTTTTGTCAACCGATGGATGAATGTAATACAAGAAACCTGGCATTATATTTCTAAGGAAGTGTGCCCAAACAGCTTGACACATGGCAGGTGTTCAATAAGCACTTGCTGAGTCCTTTCTTACTCTAAGGAGGCATTTTTATCTTTGAATGACAGGTGCAAATTGCTTGAACTTGCTTTTCTTTTACCCTGATGTATTTTTATATATGGTGGTTGGTTATGAAAATCTCTGAACTTTAGGTCTCTGTTCAGGGTAATCTAATCTGTCAAGGAAAGAGTTAACAGCAATTGTATTGGTTGATAACGTTGATTTAAACCTTTTACCTCAGATAAGAAAGTTCATAGCTATGTAGTAGCAGAAACGTTTTGCTCCATACTTAAATTTGAAAACGCTATTGTATTTTATAGAATTTATGGAACATTAAAGGTACTTTTTGCACAGAGGTTTTTATTATAGAGGATTTCTAACATATACACAAGTCGAGAGAATAGTGTAATGAACCCCTGTGTGCTCAGCAACCAGCTTCAACATTCATTAGCCTGTGGCCACTTCATTGCAATTATACCACGGCCCAGTCCTCCCCCGTATTATTCTGAAGCAAACTCCACATAACATATAATTTCAGTCATGAATATTTCAATATGTATCAATAAAAGGGGGGTCTTAAAATCCTTATCACACCAAAAAAATAATGGCAGTTCCTCAGTGTAATTAAATATACAGTCAGTGTTCACTTTCCCCTCATAGCCTTCTGTTTCGTTTAAAGTTTTATTTATTTAAGTGATTTCTACACCCAACATGGGCCTCGAACTCATGACCCCGAGATCAAGAGTCAGATGCTCTACTGACTGAGCCAATCAGACACCCCATAGTCTTCTATTTTTAATGCAATTTGTTAGTTTCTTTTAAGATTTTATTTATTTATTTGAGAGAGAGAATGAGATAGAGAGAGATAGCATGAGATGGGGGAGGGTCAGAGGGAGAAGCAGACTCCCCGCCGAGCAGGGAGCCCGATGCAGGACTTGATCCCGGGACTCCAGGATCATGACCTGAGCCGAAGGCAGTCGCTTAACCAACTGAGCCACCCAGGCGTCCCTCCAATTTGTTAGTTTGAATGTGCATCCAGAGGAGGTGCATGCTTTGTAACTTATATCTGATTATAATCAGATGTGTTTCAAGTCTTTCTAAATCTGTGGATTCCTCCTCCATGTCTCCTTTTTCCCTTGTAATTTTATTTATTTATTTATTTATTTATATGACAGAGAGAGAGAGAGAGCATAAGCAGGAGGAGTGGCAGGCAGTGGGAGAGGGAGAAGCAGGCTCCCTGCTAAGCAGAGAGCCCGACGTGGGGCTCAATCCCAGGACCCCGGGATCATGACCTGAGCCGAAGGCAGATGCTTAACCGACTGAGCCACCCAGAAGCCCCTCCCTTGTAATTTTTTACTGAACAAACTGAGGTCCTTTGTCCATTAATTTCCCACCACCTGTCTTTGCTGATTTCATCTCTGTTATGCTATCGACTCTGTGTTCCTGTAAATTGATAATCACATCTAGGGGCTTGATTAAATTGAGGTTTGAAATATATATATATATTCCCTAAAATGTCATAGATGGTGGTGTATCATCTATATGAAGGCTCATAACGTCTAGCTGTCTTTGTTTTTGAATGTTAGCAGCCACCAACGATTCTCACCCAGATCTGTTGGGGCTTCCCAAATGACACCAACAAGGAATTTTTTTAAAGATTTTATTTATTTATTTGACAGAGAGAGACAAAGCGAGAGAAGGAACACAAGCAGGGAGAGTGGGAGAGGGAGAAGCAGGCTTCCCGCGGAGCAAGGAGCCCGATGCGGGGCTCGATCCCAGGACCCTGGGATCATGGCCTGAGCCGAAGGCAGACGCTTAACAACTGAGCCACGCAGGCACCCACCAACAAGGAATTTTTTAAAAGAATGAAATGGGCTCCCATGTAGCAGACCAGTGGTGAAAAAAATTTGAGTAAATTAGGTTTTTCAAAAAGAAAACATCCAAGTGATTGTAATAATAATGTGGGCAGAATCTTAGGAATAGAAAGGAATTTAGAGATCGTCCAGCCTGGTGTCGGATAAGAACCCTAAAGTCCAGGGAAACTAAGTGCTGGGTGTGGCATGGCTTATAAGTGACGAGGCCACAGTTATATTCAGGCTTTTCACACACACTTTGGTATTGCTTTTATTCTGGCCTGCAGTTTACCCTTTCACAGAGCATCTGACAAATTTCAAATTTGACTAGAGTTTAGATTATTTCTTCCTATTGCAGATCATGATTAATTAATTACCTTTTCATTTTCCATTTTGCACGTGCTGGTATTGACTAAATGTGAAAGAGAACTAATTATAGGGGTGCCTGGGTGGCTCAGTCGGCTAAGCTGCTGACTCTTTGTTTTGGCTCAGGTCATGATCTTGGGGTCCTGGGATTGAGCTCCATGTTGAGCCCTGTGTCGGGCTCCGTGCTCAGTGGGGAGTCTACTTGAGATTCTCTCCCTCTCCCTCCCCCCCACTCATGCATGCTCTTTCTCTCTCTCCCTCTCTCTCTCTAAAAAAAGAACTAATTATAAATTATACTGATATTAAATTATAATCAGAGAATATCCTGAATCCATAAGATTTATTTGGACGCTGAGGCAAATCCAGATATTACTGTTGTCCAATTTCATTTTCAGACAAATTTTGCTTCACATTTGAGACATAAACGTGTCTTATTTCTAACATATTTTTTAATATTATTGAATTTCTCAGATTCTAAAGTAAATGTTGTAAAACCAAAAAGTATTCCTGTTAGTTTTTTTCTTTAAAAAAACATCATTTAGCTACAGAAACATTTTGTTCAGTTATTTTCCATAATTTTCAGAGGGACAAGGTTTGCATTTTCTTTCTGTAACCATTAATAACTAGGAGATTTCAGTTTGAATTGACTTTGTTGTTTTCCTAATTCTTTATTTTGGGATTTTAGATTCTGAATCTTTAGTGATTTGTCAAGCTAAGACGAAGATGAAGATGGCCTTTTAAAACTTGGGGCAAACCACTTTCATGATATAGAAATATTGTATTTCATTAGTTGTAAGATAAAGATTGTTCTTTTTTATTTTGTACATTTTGTTCTTTTTAGTATTAGTTGGTATTTGTTTTGTATATGACATTCTATTAGCATTGAAGAGCAATTAGCAAATTGATGAAACAGTTTTAAGCAAAATTAGATGCCAGGAGAAGCATATGATTTTCTGTTGAAATTCTAAAATTCTTCCCTTTTTTTTTTTTTAAAGATTTATTTATTTATTTATTTATTTGACAGAGAAAGACACAGTGAGAGAGGGAACACAAGCAGGGGGAGTGGGAGAGAGGGAAGCCAGCTTCCTGCAGAGCAGGGAACCCGATGTGGGGCTCGATCCCAGGACCCTGGGACCATGACCCGAGCCGAAGGCAGACGCTTAACGACTGAGCCACCCAGGTGCCCCTAAAATTCTTCCCTTTTAGAGTGTTTGCTGCCTTCAGGTATTAATACTTAATAGTGATAGTAGAGTATTTCTGCCAATGGAATAAACAGCACTCATATTCATGAACTTTCCAATTGCCCGTCTCCTTTGCGCTTTAGATAGAACATGTGTGTCCTCGTTCACCCGTAGCCCAGGCTCCATTTCCCATCGCCTTGCTGCCAGTGAACAGGTCTTTGCACACATGCTTGGCCATTCAGAGACATCAGAGCTGTGGTCTCCCTCAGTGATCCTCAGACTTGGTCCTGGGGAAGAACACAGGGAGGTTCTGTTGTACTTGGAGGGACTTTATCAAAATACTGATTTCTTTTTCTTCTGCTTTCTTTTTCTGACACTGAGAGGACTCCCGCTGTTTAGTTTGGGAGGACCTCGCTTGCAAAACATCTGCGTCCTTAGGAATAATGTCACCTTGATGACCAAAGTGAAGCAGAATAAAAATCACCCAAATAAAACAAGCCGCTGTTATTTGCTCTTTTTTTTTTTTTTTTTTTGGTCATCAAAGTCCTCAAGAGCTGCAAATCTAACACGAACCTTTGAGACACTCTCTTGTTTCTTTGGATGATTCTTACGTAGCCAGTGGTTTTGAACATCTAAGTTTTTGCTTTAATTGGATGGAGCACACTTGTCAAAAAGGGCAGACTTCAGAAGGAGGGTGTCCCACCATGCCTGTAGGACATGGAAATGGGAAATACCCGATGGCATTTCAGTTGTCCATCTGATCATTCACAGTTCTCTTCATGTCTCAGGAGTGACGTGGCCCAGAAGCTGACTTGATGTTTCCTGCTGGAGTTTTCCATTTTCCTAAAGAATGTTCTAAGAAGTGAGACATGTTGCTCCCTCCCTCTCAGTTCCTCTCTCTGTAAATGTAGCCTGCCTTTCTCTCCCTCAGACTTATTATGAGTGAGCTGTATGATTGGCCTCTAGTTTGATATTTAGCTTGTAAGCCATGAGAGAACCTGTTTGTTGGGTAATGTAGAGTAATGCATTTATTAATTGAGTTTGCCTTTAGCAAACCATTTTACCTGCCCATGGTATTCTCTGTGAGGGGTGTGTGTGTGTGTGTGTGTACTCAAACTAGGACAGTGTGTGTATATTTTCTGTACTTATGATTCCGGAGAAATTTGGCCTTTAGCTATGTGTCCAGTCCTATGCTCTTGATAACCTCTACTTGTAACAACAAAAAAGAGATAATTTGAATTTGACAGTGGGTGAGTCCTATGTCCTCATGCTTAAGTACAGTCTCGTGACTGATATGGCAAAAGCTCAATTAAGGTGTTTCAAGAAATAGGGTTTTCTGCTGTCTGCAGTGCTAAGCAGAAAGCCCCTTACATCTACACGGATGACACTATTGGTTTCAATCCTTATTGGTGAGCTCCCCCGCCCCCAGCATATTAGTGCCTTTTCTTGCTGAAAGGTACGAAGGGTAAAATCTTTAAAGAGAATTCTGTGCCTTGTTGAGAATCTTGGGGTCGTGGATATCATTTTGTATTATACAGGGCCCTAGGGGTAGAAGATAAAAGATAATGGGCCTAAATCTATATTACGCATGGGTCATACTCTCCAAAGAGGAGTTTGCCCTGTATAATTGAGTTCATTAAGGAATCCAATTAATTGGATTTCTTCTGGTTAATTGAGGTTTTCCTTTTCTTGAGTTAAAATGCAGAAATGGCTTCCAGGTTTAAATTGGGCCTAATCTACATGCCAGTCATTTGCAGAAGCAAGCCCCTCTTCTGGGTGCTCATTGCCATCATGGTTGCGTGGGGACTTTGGGCTCATTCCTTAACATTCTTAAGTTCTGCCTAATGGTCTCTAATTAATTTGCCAATAAAACTCTTACAGCGGATTCATTGAAGGCAAGTTCAGTTAAAGACTCTCCCTCTTCCTTCTTTTGCCATCATTTGCTCCCCCTTCCCCCCTCTTGTTTTTCTCTCCCCTTCTCTTCTCTCATTCACTGTCAGGAAAGACTACCTTTGAAGGGACAATTCTGTACCGAGCTGCACCGGGAAAGACGGAGGGCCACAGACGCTATTACAGTGAGTGACCTTAACAGCAGGAGGCAATTGTAAAGTTAACATCCGGGTACTTGTGGTTTTTGACACGGCCGCACTTTCCTGAGCTGCTCATGCTTCTGCCAAGTGTCTGTGTGAATTTCTGATGCAAGGACATGGACTTATTTGCCCGAATAAGTGCTGTCTCCTTGGTGTGTGCTACAGGAGCATTCTCATCACCAGCCCTGGCGCTTTCTCGTTTGCTTTGTGCCTCTGCCATGTGTGTGACATGCGTGCATGAACCATGCGTGCAGAGAAGGGACCGGTAGCATTTGTCATGGCATACGTATTTGTGCCAGTATCTCTGGGCCTCTGGGGTGGTGTAAGATGGCTTCCCATGGAGATGTCAACCTCTCGCGGTTACTGCTTTTCCTGAGTGGCTCATTGGAAACCAATAAACCATTTCTTCATTGCGTGTTCAAAGAAATAAGAATGCGGCATGAAAGCCTACGCCAGAAATGGTGTTCTGCTCTGCTCATTCTGCCAGGCACCGCACGACAGACTTCTTTTGGCAGGACCAACATATAGCCTTTTGTGTTATGAGATAAAGCTGCCAAAAGTTGAGGGGGAAGGACATGAATGAGATTAATGAATGAATTTCATGAAGCCCTTAGAACGGTTCCTGCCGCTGAATGGCACTATGCACGTGAGTTTTAAATTTAAGATCAACAAAAATGGCTCACAGATCTGAATTGATCCATGCTGGAATATTTCGGTCAGTTACACAAAAGTGTAATTTATGATGTCATTTGGCCCGCCGTGTAACAGAGAAAACTTGAGGCTTTTTTCTTTTTTTACCTTGAAGGCAAAGCCTCCACCCTGGTGTGCAGGTACACATATGCATCCATCCCACGTACGCAGAAGTGGTGAAAGAGAAGGTGCAGATGTGAATGCCAGAACCCGGCTTCTCACACCGTCTGGGGTGCAGTTCGTTCTTAGTTCCGTCCCCCCACAGACGGAGAACTGGTCTTGCTGTACACGACTTTACTACGCATGCCGTGTGCCGCCTGCACCTCCCCACGGGTGGTTGACAGACCGGGACTGGTCTACTCCCTGGTCACCTAGACGAGTCCCCTGGCCACACGTCTGAAGTCATAGCGGTGCCCACCGCTCTAAGCGCTTCCAAACAAGCACACTTCCTGCGCTCAGCGCGCGCTGTACCAGTCACAACCCCTTCATGACCTGGCCCCAGCCCGCAGACGACACTCTGAGCCATACTGCCCGTGGGGGTCACTGACACGGGGACACTTTATAGGAAAGCAAGTATGATGGGCACCAGTAGCTAAAAGCTGCAGCACCCAACCGACATGAAATGTCACCTTTCTTTCCCTCCAAAGGGAAGGAACTAGATTCTGAGTTATTTCACCAACCCAGATATTCAGCTATATGATTTGCATACTGAAAAGCGATAGAAGCAGGCTGCCAGAATGTCTGGAAGAAAAATCTGCTGTGGGTTTCCTTCCCAGTCCATGCTTATGTGGCTGAAAGACTGCCCCCTCTCCCCATGTAATGTGAAGAGCATTTCTCACAGTGATTAATAGAAAGTCATTAAGATGAGCCCGGAAGGCATCGAATCCCTGAAACCAGAAGCTCAGTGAAATCAGAATGGCACTGGTTGAAAACATCATGGTTCTAATTAATGAGGAATGATAGAAGACTCCTTCAGATTCCTCTCTTTGAAGAACTAAAACAGCCTTGCCCTAATCCACTTGCCTGCTGCCTTCTGCGGCTGCTGGTGGTGGTGGTGGGGAGGGCAGGACGGTGAGGGTTTTTTCCACTAACTCTTTCTTTATTCCACCCTCAAATGGGTCTTTCCAACCCAGAAAAGAATATACAAGCCATTTATCACATAGAAAGGATCCATACGGCAAAATGAGAACATGTTAAAGGGGAAATGACACAATATTTAGACTCCAAAATTATATCTCCAGCAGGGATATTTCCAAAAACAATGAACAAATAAACACACAAATGGATAGCTAATCCAGGGGGGTTCTCCATGTTTGCACACTCAAATCCAGTCCTATAAATTGCAGCCGACCCCACGGCTGCAGGCTGCTCCTCATGGCTCTGTCCTCCATTCTTGCTCACAAATGCTGTTCTTTACTTAATTAAAATGTACAACAGGGATCTTCCTCCTCCCCCCTTCCTTTGTGGCCTATAAATGCCATTTTATTGAAAACAGCAGCAGCAACAAACACAGCCATTGTTTTAATTTTAAGGATTTGATTTTGAAACTTGTTGGCAATTTATAATGACCTTTTGATATTTTATCTGTTTTCATTTAACAGTTCCTTCCTGCCCTGAGACTTCTTTATTTGAATGACTTCGACATTTTATAACATTTTATGTGAGCAATTATTTGGTGTATTGTTCATATGTACTAGGAGCCCACCTTCCCTATAGAGGGATAGCGCACGATTGCCTAATACAGAACCAACTTTGATTATGTACTTTCATCGAGGGCATTGTTGTCATCAGGGGATATACAGTAAATGTTCAGGAGCTATTCTACACACCTAGAGGCTTTAGAGACAGATTGAATGGCAAACTAGTATTCCATAAAATATCCTTTGAATCCTGCCCTTTGATGGCATGACTGATGCACTGACTTTCAAAGTAAGAGTGTACACCCAGAAATTAACTAGAAACAAATAGGCTCTTCCTTTTAGGAACATGATTGTGGGCAGAGCTTGGGGAATAAAGAATCTGGGAGGTAAGTGTTCACGCTGTCTTGCTGATAACTATCTGATGACTTCCAACACATGCCACAGGAAGTCGAAGGAAGGGTGTCATGTCCCCAGTGTTCTTCTTTGGAAAGGGATTCAGCTTTGGGGAAATGATGGCATTGAAGGAGGGGAAGAAGAGCGGTAGGCTCGGAGGAGTCTGGCCTCCGGGAGGGCAGCTTCCTTTCCCTCTTTAACAAACACAGTCATCTTGCCAGGGAAAGCATCTCAATGTCAAGTTTGGTTTAATGCTTTCCTCGAGAAACACGTCTGCGTGCATTTATTCCTTGTGAAGCCATCCAGAGAGATTTAATTCTTTGGCAGTCGTAATTTTATGTGGTTTCTTTAATTGCTAATTTGTTTAAATGGCTTTTAGCTTTACAGTTTCCCTTTAGGAAATGTTACTTTCATTACTAATTGCTAATTGCCACGAGTCATAGAGATTGGAGGTACAGTATGTGATACTGGCAGGGTGGGGAGGTGAGGACAGGGTGGGAAGGGTTGTTATCATGCAGACTGTGGCAAAACAAGTTTGTGTCAGAATCAGGCTCCGGCTGAAGAGTGGTGAAATGTCACACTTACAGAGATCTGCTTTGAAATTAGATTTTTTTTTTGAAGAATTTTGACTCACTTCTTAAAGTTAAAGGCTGTGGGTGGGGAGATCGAACAAAACTCAGAGCCACCCAAATGCAACATATTCAACACACTAAATGGAAAGCCCCAGTGCAGGTTGTCCTATGCCCAGTAACACTTTTAGAGGTGGTTCCTGGCTGGCTGTGAGGCACTTCACAGCTATGGCTGATTTCTGAGCTCTTTCTCTCCCCGTCCCCACTCTTGACAGGTTTAAGGGAAACCACAGGCTCCGAGAGTGATGGGGGTGACTCGAGCAGTACCAAATCCGAAGGTGCCAACGGGACAGTCGCAACTGCAGCAATCCAGCCGAAGAAAGTTAAGGGAGTGGGCTTTGGAGATATATTCAAAGACAAACCAATAAAACTAAGACCAAGGTCGATTGAAGTAGAGAATGACTTTCTACCGGTGGAGAAGGTATGTTCAACAGTTTCTGTTTTATTTCAACACAGTGTGGAGTACCCAAAAGTCCATTGTAGGGCATCTGAGACTTCTTATGCCTCTTCTGGGGTGTCGGCGTCTTCACATGCTAGCTGTTTGCTCTCTCCCCTTTGAGGCTCTCCCTTTGTGTTTCTGGAAAGGCTCATGCTCTAGTTTGCGTCTTCTCTTCTTACTGGTGTCTCTGTGGAATGCGTCTCAGTATGACTTTTCAAATGGACCTGCACTTCTCCATTCCCCTCCACCACCACCCCCCAAAAAGCCCCTCATGCCTGGACCCAGCTAAACACATGACCATGACACTCGCGAGCACGGACTGATCTATCACTTCTCCTTGTCCATTTCTCTGGTGCTTAGTGCCTGGGTGTGTTGACTGGTTCTGCAGTAGACCAAAGGGGTTGCGCGTTTTTTTCTCTAGGAGTTAGGTGGGAATGATTTCAGACGGCCGAAAGGAAGTCTCCCGCATGTGGGTATGATGGAGATGGGCTGTGCTGTGACTCCCTGCGTTGCTACCATCAGGAAGCTGGCTGTTTTCTTCCACCTCTCTGGTTCTGGGTTGCGGAGAGGCAGACAGCGTGTTGCTGCTGAGTACGCGGTTGCCCCAGCAACACACCCAGAGCCTCCGAGCTTGTGGCTGTCGGTGACGTCTACTGTGGCACACTTCTGAGCACCAGAGCTTTGCTTAGGATTTGATAAATACTGTGGAATTTTCCAGATTGTAATAAGCTACACTTGTGCTGTGCTTAAGGAATGTTTGTTAATTCGATTTAGTGCTGAAACTTTTGCTTTGATGTTTGTGCCGGTAGGCTCGGGGGATGGGTCATTGGCAGCATCTCTAACTCAGGGTTATCGGTGGCTTTTAAATGTTTTTCGTTTTTCAGGTGAGATGAATTTTTAAAAGTTGCGTCATCTTCCACAGCTGTAGAACTTCCAGCCACCTCTTTCCCCCAGCCCCCAGCAGCCTTGCCTGGTGTCATCATGCATTAGAATCTGGAAAGGAAACTTTGGGACACTTAATACTCTTAGAGATGAAAAAGGCAGAAAGGGCAGAAACTTAGACATGAAAGATTGTTCCATTTACATTCTTCTTTTGCTGCAGCTTATCTGAGCCAGCTTTGTTTCTTCCAGTAAGCATTATATGATATTTCTCAAGATCTGAAAGCTATCTACTTGGTATCCCAGCTTGCGAACTCATTTCTCCTTCACACGATCACTTTCAGATTCCTGTAAATATTTACGAAAGAGCAAGTCCCCATCTTGGGAAGAAACAATGGATGTCGTTTTTCTTCATTTTACTCAGCTGGTTGAAATGAACACGACCAGGGCGCCTGGGTGGCTCAGTTGGTCGAGCGACTGCCTTCGGCTCAGGTCG